TTAACATCTTTTGTGGTACTGAGGATTGAGCCCAGGGCCTTGCGTGTGCCAGGCGAGCACTCTACCACTGAGCTACATCCCCAGCCCAGTAATAAACTTTTGAAGGCGATGCTGATGCTTCTTCCAAGATTAGTCTTCAGATTTTCATGTGGTCAGTGATGTCACTATGACTTCATGGAGGATGATAAATATTAACACGATACGTTTGAGAAATAGAAATTCAATACTTAATATTTTATTCATACGCACTTTTAAAGAGATCAACCTAAGGGGTTATTACAAAATAAGAAAAAAATCATTACTATTAAAATATTGCAAATGACAAAATCACTTTTGTGAGCACTTTTGGGCTATTTTATACAGTATGTCCCATGCAAAAACTGTTCAAATTCTGTTCTAAGATGTAATATAACTTCTCACATTTCCAATTTCTGGTAGACCAGGAGACTGGTGGTTTCACACATCTAAAAATCTCTAGCTAGTCTGATTGACTCCTTCACCAATTCACCAGCAGAGGGCGCACCGCTGACCCTGTCTCAGCCTGAGATAGGAAGGAGTTGTTCATAAACTCTTTTATCTGAGTATCTTTTGTCATAAGAGCAAGTACTCTGCATGTTCTGTAAAGTGAAGTATTGATCCCCTTGCCTCTAGAAAGGGCCAGGGAAAGACAAGCAACCTGCTGATCATTTTGCAGTTCAGGTTTAAAACATGCACTACACGTAGATCACTGTTCACTGCATATGTGGCTCACACTAAGCTAAATGAGCATTCTGGGAGAAGCTGGAAGTCTACCAAACCTGTCTTGACTTATTTTAATGAAACTTTAATAAAATTTTTTCTATTTTAAAAAATCTTTTATTTATTTATTCAGTACAAGGTCTCACTACACAGCTCAGACTTGTAGTGATCCTCTTGTCTCAGCCTCCCCAGTGCTGGGATTACAGGTGTGCACCACCATGCTTAGTTTTGGTGGCTGACTTGGCTTGTCCTGGGTTCTGTGGCTGGCATAGCATGTGGTACTGGGGATATAACTCGGGTCTGTGTGCTTGCCAAGAAGGCCCTTAGGCTGCTGAGCTATCTTCCCAGCCCCTACAAAACATTTCTAGTGGAACAAATGCTAAGCTGGACCTAGAGTCTACAGAGTTAAGACAGTTTGTCTCCCAGGGACATTTACAATGATATGCACTCCAGTTATGGCAAAGCCACATCTTTTCTTCATGTTATTTTAACCTTTCACATATTTGAAGCTTCCCTTTGCATCAAACTGCCATCTTCTCTAAGCACACTATCCTCAGGCCCTTTCTTTGTTCATCACTGGAAGTGGATTCCTGCCTGGTCCTCTTTCTGGATGAAGTGTAGGATTGTTCACTGTCTACTTGGGCTTCATGTGTGAATAACTGGTCAACCAGTTGTTCCCATCTGTACGCACCAGCTCCTCAGGCTCTGCTGTTGGACATTCTGGGCCCATGGGGCTTTATAGGAAAAGGAATTGAGGATCAAAACAGGCTCCCATATTTTCTCTCAGTTCTGCCTGGAGCACATATGTAATCCTATTTTGTTCTTGTTAAACTCTTATATACGTCACCTCTGTCTCTTCCATGTTGCTTAAAGATCTCTGCTGTTGATCTAGGCCTGTCCCAGATCATCTGAAAGCCAGGAGAAAGAAAATGTATCTCTTCCTTTATTTGAAATTATTTCTTAAAAATTTTCTACTACTTATTTCTGCTGTGTGCTATTGTAGAAATGTTGTATAATCTGTCACTTGGATCTCTGAAACCTCTGGCATGAGACACATGCGGTTGAATCTTCTGCTAGAGATGCCTCCTGAGATCTCATATCTCTCCTTGCTGTGTTCATGACCCTTTTTCCACCTCGCACTAATAGAGGGTGAAAGCATGGGAAGGAGATGTAAAGGAACTGAGCACAAGCCTGGACGCTTTACAGAGTGATTAGTCAGAGCAGAAGATTGTAGGTGATAATGCAATTCCCATCTCACTCTTCGCCCATAAGTACAGTGTTGGGGTTGGATTTGTTGATAGCATCATAGAATGTTTTGCTGGTCAGAATCTTTGCAATTATGTGGTTCTGATCCTTTCATTTTATAAGTGTGAAATAAGTTGATGGAGTGTCAGTCTAGATTCTTTTAACTCTGTTCATCACAGTGTCTTCTTATTCATTGGTACCTGGCATAGAAAAAGTTGGGAGACAGAGGAAAAAGAGCAAGAACATTGGAAATGGCATTGATTTGGGGGTCAGAGAATATAGTACCAGACCCCAACACCATATATGTGTGATTTTTTGATAAAAATTGTGTTTACTTAGAAGCCTTCAGAATGTCAACAAAACAGATGCAACTTTTTTCTTTTTGCAATTATAGAGTGGTATTCAGTTAACAGAAAAACAATTATTTTGCTTAAGTTGCGTCAGAGACAACTGAAGATGAAAACCTACCATGCCCATATATAATTAATTTGTGCTGTGTACCAACAAGAACCTGCTTTAAATTTTCATGCCAATTTGCAACCTCCATACTGCACTAGGCAAGGTTAGCGGCTGTTGAAAATACCACCAGGACAGGGTTACCTAAAGACACATTCAGAACTATGTTAACTGTTAACTATACCACAAAAAAAGACACTTTATAGTTTAAAACAAATCTTACATAGCCTTACCTTTCAGTTTTTTGTCTTCAAAAGAAGTGAGTTGTGTACAGGGGGTTAAATACTTTATAGAGAAGAAAAAACTGTGCTAGAAACAACTTATTCATCATCATCCTCTTCTTCATTCTCCTCATCCTCTTCATCTTCTTCTTCCTCCTCTTCATCCACATCTTCCTCCTCCTCCTCTTCCTTGTCTTGCTTTTTTCAGCCTTGATGACTCCCTTTTTGCTGCATTAGGTTTTTCTTTAGCCCAGTAGGTAGCAATGTCCTTTTCATACTTCTCCTTCAGCTTAGCTGCCTTCTTCTCGTATGGCTGCTTGTCATCTGCTGCAGTATTATTCCCCATTTCTCCAAGTTTCTTTGCGACATCACCAAGGGAGAGGCCAGAATGTTCTTCTTTGATTTTTGGGTGATACTCAGAACAGAACAAGAAGAAGGCTGAAGGAGGCCTCTTTGGGCACATTGGAATCCTTGAACTTCTTTTTGTTTCTCCCTTAGGAGGAATATAAGTTTTCATTTCTCTTTCATAATGAGCCTTGTATGCTTTTGCCATGTCTTTCAATGTTCCTTTTTTCTTTTTTTTTTTTTAGCAGACATGGTCTTCCACCTCTCTGAGCACTTCTTAGAAAACTGAGCAGTTAACGGAAGCATCTGGGTGCTTCTTGTGCTCCTCTCGGCAAGTTTGCACAAAGAATGCATATGATGACATCTTGCTTCTTGGCTTCTTAGGATCTCCTTTGCCCATGTTTACTTGTTTTCCTCAGTGAGGTATAAAATCGCCCAGTGCCCATCTGGCTCTCACTCTGGTGCTGTCTCTATGGAGCTCCCATATATGTGTGATTTTAGTAAGTCAGTTGCCTTTTTAAGCATCAGTAGACCCATCTATACATTGACAGTATATATGTTTCCTTCCACCTCTAATGTCTCACTGTATGGTTGCTTTTCTTCAAGCATTTAATGAAATTTAGCATAAGCTACATCCTATGATAAATACAAAGTCATGTCTAACCTGCAAACAGTCATCAGGTACATTTCATCATTATCCTTTTCTTTTTTATATAAATGAGGAAAGAGAAGAGCAGACAGTCACAGTGCTAAGAAGTGGAAGAGTTTAGAACATGACTTAATCCAGTTTACTGGGTGGATGATCTGTGTGTGTATGTTCACAAATGAAGGACTTTCTGACTCAGCAATGTTTTCTGAGGAGGGCCCAGCAACAAAACTTGAGAAAGATGGATTTGTGTTCTATAAATAGACATAAGAGGGATTTTAGACAAATTTATTGACCACTAATGCCAGTGGGAGTTTTTGTGCAAATTATAAAAAAATGAAAGCATTTTCTCCCTGAGTAACCTGATACATGCTACATAGTTCTTACTTTACAGATCTCTAAACACTTACCAATCACTTTGACTTCATAAAATGCCTTTGTTCACCATCATTTACAGTCACATTTCCCTGATTGCCTCCTTGAGTTAAAATATTTTTCTCCAGTCACATAAAAAAGAGGCTAAAAATAATAAGCAATATTATAATAGATGAGTCATAATCAGAGAATTGATTTATGATCTATTATGACAGGCAAGGAAAAGTGAAATTTTAATGAAGGCTTTTGAACAACACTTTTTACTCTTTGATTTCTCAATAGAGTGACAGTTTGTCATTTTTCAAAGGGCTTATATTTTATGCTGTCAGTATGCTAGGTGTAATGCTACATATTCTCTCCTATGAGATGATGTCTCAAAGAGAACATACCTGAGATTTTCCATCTCCCAGTGAAAAATGCTCAGAGCATTCCTTCTTGAAGTAAAATAGTCTTACGAAACAGTAATCGTCAAATTTTTCTTTGGAATAATTTACATACATTAAAAGGCATAGATCTGAAGTTCAATGACTTTTGACAAATATATGCATCCATGTTATCATTATTCAAGCTGAGATATAAAACAGTTTTATTATCTTCAAAGGATAAAAAGGGTTTAGTCAAATTCTCCAAACAAAGACAACCATGAGAGTCAAGAGTATGTTTTTGACTCTTTCAACATTACTTAAGTGAAGTGATATGCTATTTACATTTTGACTGGATTTTTAAAGGCAATACATTGTTTTGAGATTCATCTGTACTGTTGCATATTTTCTTAGTCTCTTCCTTTTATCACTGGATAATATCGATCATTTAGTGTGTGAATATATCACAATTTATATGTTCATTTAGCTGTTGGTAGATGCTTCAGTTGTTTCCAGATTTTGATTGCTAAGAATAAAAGTGCTGACAGAGGAGCCTGAGGAAGAGGGTGGTGGTGGCGCTGTGGCGCAGGCTGAGCAGAGCCGGGTGACAGGATGTTGGTGCTGGTATTAGGAGACCTGCACATCCCACACTGGTGCAACAGCTTGCCGGCTCAATTCAAGGAGCTTCTGGTTCCAGGAAAGATTCAGCACATTCTCTGCACTGGAAACCATTGCACCAAAGAGAGTTATGACCGTCTCAAGACCCAGGCCAGTGATGTTCATATTGTGCTAGGAGACTTTGATGAGAATCTGAATTACCCAGAACAAAAAGTTGTGACAGTGGGTCAGTTCAAAACTGGTCTAATCCATGGACATCAAGTCATTCCCTGGGGAGATAAGCCTAGCTTAGCCCTGTTGCAGAGGCAGTTTGATGTGGGCATTCTTATCTCAGGGCACACACACAAATTTGAAGCACTTGAGCATGAAAATAAATTCTACATTAACCCAGGTTCGGCCACTGGGGCATATAATGCCTTGGAAACAAATATTATTCCATCATTTGTGTTGATGGATATCCAAGCTTCTACATTGGTCACTTATGTCAATCAGCTAATTGGAGATGATGTGAAAGTAGGATGAATTGAATACAAAAAATTCTTAAAGCCAGGCCTGTCTTGATGATTTGGTTTCTTCTTCATTTTCCTGTTCAATTAATCATTTAAGAGCTACACGACTGTAGCTCTTTTATATTATGCGGTAAAATATAATACACCTCTGTTAGTATATAATTGCTCTATGCTTCTTGTAAACTATAAGAGTATATTTAGTTGACATTACAGTATATGGGATTATGAAAAAAAACTACCACACAGTAAGTAGTCACATGTTAAGAAAAATTTGTCCTTATAAGTAACTTCGAAGTATTTGGGTTTTATTACAAAATAGTGCATGAAGAGAAAGAATCTCGACATTCTGTATACATTTTTCTCTTCTTCAGTACTAAGTGTGTACCTTTCATTTATAATTTCTTGATAACCTGTGTTTAATTTTAAAAAACATAAAAACTTATGGAGACCAAATGAAATTGTGTGTATATAAGTATTAGAGTGAAGTTGAGGAGAAAACAAAAAGAATAAAAGTGCTGGGTGGCAAGATAGCTCAGCAGGCTTTGGCAAGCACAGGGACTAGGGTTTGATCCCCAGTCCCACATGCCCTACTGGTCCTGCCCCCCAGGGCATGCTGAGCCAGCTACCAAGTCAGGGCATGGTGGTGCAGGTCTGTAATCCCAGCACTGGGGAGGCTGAAAACAGGAGGATCACTGTGAGTCCAAGCTACATAGTGAGACCCTGCACCAAATACATTAAAAAAAATAAATAGAAATGCTGTGAATATTCACAAATGTTTATGTGGACATCTGTAATCATTTCCCTTGGATTATTGTTTCATCACAGTGCAGGTGTGTGTTTAGAAATGCTCAAACTTTCAAATCTGGTCTTATCAAAAATTGTCCAAGAGTTTTGATAACATTTTGTTAAATATGTGTGTGACCCTGGGTCAGGATGTTTTTGGGTAGCTTAACTTTAAGTTCACTCAGACAATGGAAAACATCTTTTTAGTTAGATAGCTGGATACTTATTGATTAACTTTTTTTAAAAAAATGTATTTGTTTCAGGGTCTCGCTAGACAGCTTGGACTCATGGTGATCTTTCAGTTTTCTCTGGTGCTGGATTACAGGTGTGTGCCACCACACTCAGTCCCTGTGGCTTGCTCAATGTGCCTGGGTGTGGGGCTGGTGTGGTATGTGGTACAGGGGGTCAAATCCAGGTACCTGTGCTTGCCTAAGCAGGCACTTAGTCCACTGAGCTATCTTGCTGGCCCTTGCAAGGTGTTATGTTCTTGGAGTCATGTCTGGGGTGTCTCAGAAGAAACAAGTAGAACATATGATCACCTGGGAGGATGAGGCAAGGCCTTCAGGAAGTGATGGTGAGTTGAGCCTTGAGGTCAGGTAGGAGTTCAGCAGGTAGGCCTTTCCATTAAAGCTCTCTGTCTTCCTTTCCTGACCTTGACATATAGTGCTGAGGCATGGACAGAAGAGGACCCTTAAAGTGAGGAAAAGGAAAGGTGCAGGATGTAATTTTTTCACTGTACACTCATGTCTAATAGCCCTTGTGAAAGTGAAGTAGGCTACCTGTGGTGAGCAGAGGTGGCAGATTGTTTTTGAAAGTAAAAATCACAAGGATGCAGAATCATAGGATACTAGCTTCTAGTGAGAAGGATTTCAGGGTCCCTGAGGTAAGGATGGGTGGGGAGAGACCCCGGTACTAGTGTCATTGGCTTCACTGGGGCTGCTTTTTGGGTTCCCAGGGTCATTGGAAACAATTTTTCATGGGATCACTGACTATTGCCTTGGAAGTGATGTTATCAAGAGATTTTTATAAACCTCCAATTTTATAACTGAGTAAACTGAGTGATTTGTTCAGTATCACACTGTGGATCTGGGACTGGAATGCATGATTCCCAGATGGACAGTGACAGTGATAAAGGCAAAAGACCAGATATTCAGACGCTGAACCTCTGGAGAGTGAGGGAGGAAGGGGCTGGATTCCACTAACACTTAGCAGAAGGCAGAAGAGCATGAATCTGGCAGGGAATACATGTGGCCATTAGCAGTGTTCAGCCACCATCTCTGATTTTCAGATTGTGCTCAATGTGGGCAGATTGAGTTCTTTGGCAACCCAACTACTCTTTTATCTAGCTTCTATTCTTTATCTTGAAATAGAAACCCCATTTCTAGAGCCCTTTACTAGCCAAGTTCCAGGCTGCTACAGCTTTTTCCTGCTAGGTAGTTTCAGGGAGTGAGGTGCTGCATAGCCCTGGGGGTGGTTTCACTGTGCTTTAAACTTCTTTGTTTGGACTCTTCCTTTGAGTCTGAGTTCCTTGGGAGTACTGCATTAGGATGACAGAATCCTAGCATTTTAAAGCTGGAATTCAGACCATATAAAGATGATACAGAGAAAAAAGCTATACATTTACAAATGTGGTCCTTCAAGATATATCTGAGAAGGGCTCTGGTTTGCTGGATTGTCATTTCTCCTTTTATTCTATACAACTCCAATAAAATATATACTTCGGTGGTATTTTAACAACAGTGTGGGGGTGTATAAAAAACCAAAATATAACATTGAATCAGTCAATTAAATAAAATAGAAGCTTACTTCTCTTTCTAGAGGAGTCTGGGTAGATGGTTCAGGAAAATACATCTTCAGTGTTAGAGGCCCAAGTGTTTTCTAGTTTTTCTTGGATAGGTATGGCCACAACCTTACAAGGTAGCAGCTTTGTGTTCTAGGTTGTTTCTTCTTTGTTTCCAGGAAGAAACAAAGCATATACTTATGCTTTAGATCTAGATGTTCCCCCACATTTCAAGTGTTCAGATGTAAGTTTATGTGGAAGGCGATTGGATCATGGAAGTGTTTATTACAAGTGAGTTGCTAAGGCAGTAGCTAATTGCGATGTTAGAAGGTGGGGCTTGGTTGGAAGAGCTGTGTCACTGGAGCATTCTCTCCCTCCTTTCGTCCTCCCTGGCTCTTGCTGCCTGGCTGCTATGAGGTGATCAGTTTTACCTGCTATACTGTTTCTGTCTTGGAGATAGACCGAGTTTCCCCAAACTATGAGCCAAATTGAACCTCTTTTCCTTTAAATTGTGGTCGTCAAGCATTTTGTCCCAGTGCTAGAAAAGCTGACACGACACCAATGATTTCCCCTGAGGATGGTGAATGAAAACCTAACTAGCATTGCCTTACATGCTAAAGCTTCACTGAAAGAAGTTTGGGAAAGCAAATGCTGAAAACCAGGAATCTTTACAACAGTCTCTGTGACATGTACCTTTACTTGGTCTATTTTGTATTTCTCAGGCAGGTTGGCATTGATTGCTTTTTATAAACAAGGGAAGTAAATATCAAAAAATCCCCACAAGAAGAGGCAACAGAACCTGATCCTAGGTTTTATTATTAAAACTACATCTGTCCTGGTGTGTTGTGTGATCCCTAATGCTTCACATATGTAGGCTCTCCAGAAATGGTATTTTTATTTCTGCAATTGTGTATAGCATCTAATAAAACTATATCTTTGGGTTATCTCAGGTTTCCTTTTTTTGCAACTGGTGGTCTCAATTTTCTGTACTGTGCACCCTTTCTCATCCTGCTGGATGACCACAACCCCATGACATGACCATTTCTCTCTAAGGGGGAGGAGGGCTTCAGTGTTTGAACTGCTTGGATCTATCTGCATTGCCCTCCAAAGTGAATTAAGCCAATGGTGTATGAAGGGTATGGACCCGACTGATTCCTAATAATTGGATGGGTTTTCTCATTTGGGTCTTGTTAGTCAATTCATTGCAGTACAATTAAATCAGGGGACAAAGGGCATCCAGTTAATAGCTTATTTTCCAGCCTCCAGCCCCTTTTTTCTGCACTGGAACACTGAGAGGTTTTCATTTTGTTTTTCTGCCTGAGGTAGTCCATGTGTGGCAGATTAACAGATTTGTATGAGTTCCATTTCCATGAGACCAAAGGTTATGAGATTATATTTTAAAAAGGTTGGCACTGGTGGTCAAATTACTGAATTAATCGACTGATTAACCCATGTAAATCTGACCCTAGAGATGGCTCACGGCCACTGAGTGCTGTGCAAACTACACTATCTCTTTATTTTGCTTTTTAAAATTGCCTTTCTTTGAGATTGTATATGGACACCAAATTAAATATTAATTCAGAGACATTCAAATGTATTGTTAGATACTGGTTAATATTTCTGTGCCCATTTAGAGATTATCTCATTGAAAGAAAGTTTTTATTGTGTCTTTATATTTTAAAAGTCATTTTGTGTGGTCATAATATTTTTCTCATCATGAGATGTTCCTTCTTACATTTTCTTTTTAGGTCTTACCAAAGAAGATATAAGTCCAGAGCATTTTAAACAAAAAGAAGAAGTATGTTATTTCTAAGTCTCAAATAGTGAAACTATGTCCAAATGCTAGATCCTTTGTTATGGTTTGGAACTGAAATGTCCCCTGAAGGTCATGTTATAAAGGCTTGATTACTAGCTGGTGGGAATTAGGAGGGGGAGTACCAATCAGGAGCTGGAAGCTCATTGGAGGTCAGTCACAGGGGGTGTGTCCTTTGAAGGGTATAGTGTGTCTCCAGCCCCATCCTGCTTCCTGGTGTCCACAAGCTGAGTAGCTTTTCGCAGTCATTTGCTCTGTGCCGTGGTGTGCTGTCTTGCCAGGGTCCCAAAGGGATGAAACCAAATTACCAGAGATGGAGATTTCTGAGACTATGAATTAAAGTGAAGCTTTCTTCCTTTGAAATTGACTTTCTCCCAGAGACACGGGATCCTGAATAGACCCAGAGCGCAGGCCCGGTGAGTGAGATGACCCGGGGACCAGCGGGATCCTGAATAGACCCAGAGCGCAGGCTCCTCGAGTGAGTGAGATGACCCGGGGCCCACAGATCCTCATTCGACCCAGGCTGCAGGCCCAGCAGGGAACCCTTCAGCAGAACTCCATGCAAAGAAAGACCCACCTAGCTGATTCAGGAGCAGAACATCTTCCCAGAGAGACACAAAGGGTTCAACTCTAACCC